TAGCAACAGTCCAGAAAGGAAAAATCTCAAGGTAAAGAAAGCGTGCTGCCTTACAAACCCACAGTGCACCCTCATGCTGCACCCTCTGGACAGTTCCAGCACTGCCTCCCAGGGTAGCTATAGGGATGCAYAAGAGCATGACAAGGATGGGCATGGCCACATAATGCATTTCACAGCGGGGAAACACCCCGGCAAAAGAGGTCCTTTACCTCACACCATACTCCCGAGCACGTCACCACAAGAAAATACGGATGTCAGTCGTCTGTGGGGATCCAAAGGCAGCTAGATACTGTTCCTGACACAAAAACCCATCAAGGGCTGCTAATCCATATGATACGTAGGGCACAGCATATAGATCACCAGGGGCTCACAAGCACACCCCAAAGTAAGGGCATGTGTCTGCCTTGTGTTCCTTTCTCCAAGCATCTGTTCCTGCTCAGCAGGCAAAAGGCAAGTGGATCAGGCAAGCCCTTTGGCCTGCCCTCCCATGACCATTAAGGGCAGCACATTCCACCCGCTGCCCTCACGTCTCGGTAATTCCAGATTACTGTATCTCAAGGTGAGATTTTTTTTAGCTAACATTTGTCAATCAGATACAGTCAAAAATACTAGAAAGACATACTGGATCATGGCAATGAAACATCACTAAGTATTTACACATTTCTTGACTATTTCTTGGCTATAATGCTGCTGGAGTTCTCTCTCTCATTACCTCCTTAGGCATGCAGAGCATCACCTGGTTTTCAGTTTTGGCACTGGAGTGTTTTTCAGTTTCAGAAAAAAAATACAGGCTTTTAAAGCAAATGATCCAAGACTGGATCATTTACTAATCCATCCCAGATATGGTAGCAGAAAATAATTAGCAAAAAAGTGGTCTGACAGATTCATTAGTAATCCATATCTTATTGATAAAGAAGTGCTAATGTAAACAGGAAGGACTTCAGGAGCTCCCCTTTATCTTTCTTAAGCCCTTGATAGTCGCTGGGAGCCTGTGAGGATAAGCGTGTTGACTCCCTTGCACGTCCTGCAGATGACAAAGAATGGCTGCTCCTCAACCCCACTGCCTTCCTGGTCGGAAACAAAGGGCTTTGTTGTTGTTGTTTTTGGACTATATACAAGATGTAGATTTGTTAATGTCAGGAACTCGCATTTCTGAAGCATCACCTCAATCAAGTATGTACTAGTTGTGTGAAAACCACACTTCTGGTGTGGCTGCTATTTCCCTTAACTGCCCTGCTCATCTCCCTCAAGAAGGGCCCTTAAACCTTTCTGACAGTCCTTATTATGCTTCAATTAATTAAAAAGGAGGACACTTCATAAGCTCTTGAACAAAATGAGGATGTGGAGAGCAAGAGAAATTTTTAGTCCATCACACCCTAAATAAAAATGTAATCAGGTATATTTTATAATTTACTTGCTATAAATTCTTGCTTGTTAGGTAATSCAATACTCAGCAAACTGATAGCAAACATTTCTTTTCTTTGGAAGCACTTGTGTGGAAAATGACAACAGCTGTAGGTAAAGCGCAAAACAGAAAACTTCGGTGTCTCTTGCACTACAAACCACTAAAGTTTGCCAATAAACTTGCCAAAGTTATTTTCTACAGACTTGTTAAGAAGCTGTTGTCCCCAATCACACTGTTTCTGCCACAGGAAAGGGGAGGAAGATGCAAGTGCTTTGCTTATACAGGACCTCATCAGATCTGAACAGCCCTGTCAATGCACGAGCCACACTCTCCTGYAACACTCACCCAGTAAAAACTTCCCAGTTTCATTCCAGCAGGGTATATACGGTAGACAGGGATTTCAAATTTCTATTTGTTTTTTATAGGAAACTGAGTTCTGCTTAACTAGCTAATGGTCCTTTTGCTATATATGAAGAGAAAGTTTGTTTCAGGTCTTCTTGYATTTCAATACCTCAAGCTCCACTGTACATTGCTGCTGTTATAGTGTAACAGCACAGAAAAAAAAAAAACCAAATCTAAAACTAAAATAGGAGAGGTAAGAAAAAATGAGTAACTCCTGCAAATATTTGCAATGTCTCATAAATCACCATTTATCTCTGTAAACACGAGTTTACATGAGAGGCCAGACCTCATACGTCATGTGCTCTTTTTCCTTCTGCTAACTGGCCCTCACAAGCATTCAGCCCCAGCTCTCCGAATGGGACCAGCCTGCAGGAAGCTCGGAGGAACAGCTATGACAGCCCACCATAAAAACAAAAATATTGCAGCAGCTCCTGTTCGCAAACTCGCTTCCTGACTCGGTTCAGGTGACAAAGTTGTTCACATTCCCACGCGAAGATCCTTCTTTACACAACTATTCTCTGTTGCATGGTCTGGTCAATGGGAAAACAAACTCTTGATAAAGCAGTTTCCTTCTGACGTGCCCAGTAATCAATTCAGGAAACTCTCCACAGGCTCCTAAATGACAGCTTTTGGTCTCGCCCTTCTGGAATCTTAAACTTGGAAATTTAGGCCAACTCAGGCATCCAGAACCCTCTTTTCTAATTCAATTTGTGAATGGTAGATGTTGCTTCTCTCCAAGAGCCCAGGAGCACTGGCTGGGGCATGAAACACCTCATAGAAATGGCTCATGGAATTTAATTAGAACTGAGTCATGCCATGATCCTATAGCTGATGGGGAAATGGTCCTCTACTTATCCCTTAAATGTTGCAAGGATTTTCTGCTGTTATCTCATAAACCTGCCTTCAGCTTCTGAAATTACGTAATTTGTATAGACACTGAAGAAACAAACAAATGGAGAGAGATACAAGTCAAGTGTTCTTAGAAAGCAATGGCTGTGAACTCCTCTAGATCACAAGGCCCTTCTCTTTGATGCAAACTGACTTTTCCTGCGCGCTGTGTTAGCCCAGCAGGAAGCCACAGGCTGCAGGTCACACTCCACATCTGCATCCTTCACCTCCTGAAGGGCCACGTCTGCACAGACAGCACGGAGACGTCCACAGGGAAGTTACCTGTATGACCAACATCTGCCAGACAAAAAAGCTGTCAAAAGCTACAAAGCAGGAAAAAAAAAATCCTTGCTTGCTAGATTTTGGTAACTAATTTGAAACAGAAATCAGTAGTATCATTAAGCAACCAACAACAACTTGTTTGCATGAATCTGCAGAACCGCAGTTCTGAAGAGAAGCAAATACTTGGAAACCTATCAAGCCTCAGTATTAAAAACAAAGAAAGTTCAGCTCACGTCAGATGACTGTTTGCATGCCTGTGTGTTTGTAACAGCAGTGGTTCTTGAATGAGATTTTTTAAAATCATAAATAAAGCTAATTTGAAGGACATTATTAAACATGTCCACAACGAAGATGCTAGGTTTGGTCAACATTCATCTCCCAGAATATATTCCAGATTACATAGATTCAACAAAAGCTATTTGCAAATTGCTAGCTTTTAAAAGCAGGAAGCTAAATGTATTTAAAGCAGCTCAAAAATTACAAAAGTAATTGATACCAAAATGAGTCAAGCTCCTTTTCATCACAGGAATGCCATCTTAGTAAGAAAATACACAGCACAGCCATTAATCATCACACAGAGGCGGTTCTCAGTACAGGAATCCAATGCCCAAATGAGAGATTTTTTTTTCTTATTTTGTATTTGTGTGTGTGTGTATATATATAGTGTGTATATATATATATATATATGCATTTTGTATATATATATATACACATACACACACAGAAGAGACAATCCCTCCCGTGCACACCACCAAGGGCTACAGGGAACGACTGCAAGGGCCGGTTTCACAAAACCTCTGGTTACGCGGTGAAAAAGCCAAGGCCTCCATCTGAAACACTGTGTGCAAACAGGAGCCAGCTTGAAGACAAATAAACAAATAAATATAAATAAATATAAATAAATATAAACATGAAAGGTGATGACCGCTGGCGCCCCGTCAGGGGGTTTCCCCGGATCCCTTCGCCGGCTCCAGGCTGGGGCCGCTTCCCGCCCTCTCTCCCTGCATCCAGACCTGCTCTCGGGCACTCGGGCGGCAGCCCCGGGACGGGAGGCACGGAGGGATACAGGGAAGCAGGGCGCGAGCAGGCGGCCAGAGCGCTGCAACGTGATGCAAGCATCAACAATACCGCTGGCTTGCCACAGGCTTTCACGGACACAGGCCCACCAGTSCAGTGTGCTAGCTCCACATTTTGCCTGCCCTGGAGAGATTAACCACTTGCAGAATCCAGGGAAATCAGCAGAAATTCTCTCTCCCACACGTGTGTTTCTTCTGCTACAAAGGCTGCGATGTAAAACCTGATGCAATGCACTGATGCAGCTGCAGATCTCTGATCTGCACTGATCTCTGCAATGGCAGAGATCCCTGGCTACGCTGGGGCGGCTCTGACAGACTCCTGGCCGGAACGAGGCACCCTCTACGCCAGACATTCAGTGTTTTTAACCAAACTGTGCACACGAAAAGCACTGGGTCTCAAAGAAACATACAGCTAAATTAAACCCACAAATTAATAAAGAAGAGCGGAGCTGACTGAACAACAAGACAACTTTTGATGGCTTCTCTTCACGCACTGCGTTCTGTAAAGGCACCACCGGACAGAAAAACCCGATTTTTCTGAGTGAGACTGTGTACCAGCAACATACAGGCTTTGCCAAGCACAATACTGGAAGATTCTTTTGGGAAACCTCAAGACTTTTTGTCCAAAATACCCATAACTGATAAATATAAAAAATACCTCGATCCTTTTAGGCTCACTAATAAGAGTTATCTGTCATTAAAAACACACACACACAACACTAGACATTTCTTCAAGCTCACCACAGAGTCCCCCAAAATTTCAGTCCCAACATTAATTATATCAACCAACACTGAAGAAAGTATGTGGGGAAAAGGAGAGAAACAAAGGCAAAAAGGCATTGCAAAACAACCAAAATCAACCTAGTTAACCTTCCAAATTGGGTCAGGCAAAGATCAAACCATGGCAATTGTAACAAACAAAAGGGCAGAAGTTAAGGAATGCTTACCTTATTGTACAGTTCCTTTCATCCAGATGGTTAATTTTAGAGAAAATATGCTCCCCATCTTCTCTCAAATCCTCTGCTTGCCTTCTCACTTCAACTGAGACCTCCTATAAGTGGTTTACAGCACAAGTAAGACACCAAGTCATCATGTTTCAGCCTCCTGAAAAATCTATGATTATGGAACCTCTTATTTGTGGCTTAGCTCCGCTTGAATATACATGAAGTCAACAGCATAGCATGTCTTAAGCTTGTTTTGCTTTAAGTGGGACAGCAGCCTGTGTGACCTCTTGCACAGCGCTGCAGAGCTGCCAGGACTCGAGTTACCAGCTCCATTTGCTGATCTTCCAAAGCGCTTCCCATCCACCGAGCTCCGCAACTCGCGTTTGGCAGAGCCACGGACACGGCAAAGGGCTTCCCGGGGACCTGCTCACAGGGCACCAGGGGCTTGGAAGCTCGGAGCGTGAAACGCGCGGCATCGCTGCTCCGCAATTTTCTTATCTCGCCACCTATCTCGGAGCAACCACACCCAGAGCAGGCCTTTGCATTACAAACCCTGAACCTGCCGGAAATTTAATATGCGCATTAGCACCAAAATCAGCCGAATTATATATGCAAAGCACCACCTTTATTTACTTCAGCCTGTTGCAGGCATCTTCAAATGCTCTTATCACCATATTTTCCAGGTGTCTAAACAGGTGTCGTCTTTTTGCCCCAGGAGGCCTATACTGAACTTAAAGGCACTAGTTAGTAAGATGGAATAGATTCCATGGAACACATGGAATAGTTTCTTTTTTTTTCTTCTTCTTTTTTTTTTTTTGGCTGGATGGACAATTATTTAATAATTTAGTTATTTTAATTTTCATAATAACTTCCAGGTGAATATTTGCAGGTCTTGGAATCTCTACTCCAGTCAATTATCCACGCAGCTATGCCTGCACCTATAGTTCAAAAGAAAGGCTTGCAAAACTTAAAGAAACAAACTTGGAGAAAATAAGCTCACAGCTTTCACTGATCCACCCATTTTTCTCTCCTTTTTCAGCTATTCTCATTCTATGCCTGATGCATACTCGTGCAAACACCCACATACGCTCTGCATGTTCAAGTCTGAATGCAGTACTTTTAACAAGAAAGGGAAGAAAAAGGCAAAACACTGCACCACTGCAGTAGCTCCTTTTTTTTTTTTTTCCCCCTCAAAGTCAGCTTCTATCTGTGCAGAAGGTGAAGTTCAGCCCGGGTGGAATACCCTGTGACTCCTACAACTCTCTCACAGCCACGAGAACATCACCCTCTCGACACAGAGCTTGTGAGAGCCTTAGTCTCTCTGTTTACTTCCCCTGCCACCTGCCAACTGCTCTCCAGCCCTGCTCAGTTAAAAATTAACTGAGTATTTACTTGCAAGTTGAACACACTTTTGGCATCTCTCTGAGGAACACACTTCTGTTTTTAAATCAGCAAATGGACATAAAACACTAAGAAGCTTCCTTTGTTTTTGCAGAGTAAAAGGAGCATTAATGGGCTTTTTTTTTTTAATCTCTATCACCAACATATGTTTTGTCACACTTAGCTTTCAGATCAAACAAGTTTGGAAGAAAAGAGGGCAATTGTTAGATCATGAACAAAATCACACAAAGGTTGGTCTTATTTCCCCTTGGAACATTTCTCTTCAGTTTTCAGAGATCAAGACGATATGGGGAAGAGGGCAGGCAGAAACACCAGTGAAAAAGCACTCTGGGTGAACATTGCTTTGATCCTCCTGCATTGCTACTGTAAAACAGTATCATCAAATCAGTCTTTTTTTTCCTTCCAACTGGCTACAATTCTCAAGAAATTACTCATCCGGTTGCTCTTTCTTGCATACTGAATTCCCATGCAACRCAACCTTTCTTAGAAATCTTCCTTATTCTCCTTAAAAGAGCATATATACAAATATATGCTCTATAACAATTTCCCCAGCACTGACAGATGGCAAACACAGTGTGACACGTGTTTCTAGACGGAAACATTTTATAAAGCTGGTCTGGCTTCCCCTCCACCACCCTCCTCTGTCTCTCTCTTGGCCAATTTAAAGGATAATACAGCAAGAGTCTCGTACCTGCTTGTAGAAATCGGTAGAAGGGGACGATCGGGACCTCTCATGGGTGTACTGGCCTTTCTCATGCTGCTCATGGCCTGCATCAAGGATATTATCTGCTGAGTGGTACCTCCCTGAACTTCTCGCCTCCAGGGGTTTCCGCTGCTCTTTCCACGATGCCTGATACTCCGCAAAGGTGCCCAGGCGCTGCGGCTGTTCCGCCTTCCTTGCTCTGTCACAGGCCTTACTGCCGTGCGCGGCCTCGAGGCCAACAGAAGCTGCCCGACCCCTTCTCTCATACCACGAGTCCTCTCCCTCTGCTCCACCGACAGCTTTTCTATCAGGCCTCTCAGGCTGCCCCTCTGGTACACCATGGGGTGCTTGTCTCTGTGCAGGCTTTCTATACGCTGGCCTACTGGTTTCCTCAAAAAATTTCCACCTGTCTGCAAACGACCCCAGGGCTTCTTCGGGTGTGTTTGGGCAGCAGCGAGGCCGGCATTCCTCCGCCGACATCCCGACCTCGTTCATCTTCTCTGGTTCCGAGTAGGACTTGAGCTTCTGCTCTGCTGTGAACCTTTTCCTGGCGCCGATGCGAGGAACGTGCTGGGCGCCGCTCCCCGCCGAGCTCGGCTTCGCTTGCGTGGCCTCCAGGAGCCCAGGCACATCTTCAGAAACCAAAGCCAATAAYGAGGAGTTGTAATTGCCACTTTTCCGTTCTGGTGACCTGGGGAGATATTCSGCAGGGCTGGGCTCCAAGTCCCGCCGCTTGAAGGACGTTGCCCGCAGAACCCTGGCCTGGGCCTCCTTCAGGTGATCTTTGTAGGTGCTAGTAAAGTTAGTATCTGGGGAGCTGTTTACGTTTTCTGCTGAATCTGGCTTCCAGTTCTCATTGTACTCCTCTGTTTCCGGCGACCCTATTAGGGTAGCTGTGCTTTTGCTCTTCTGCAGCTTTGCTCTTCTCATTTGGATCTCATTTCTCAGGGTTGTCGCAAAACGATCGCTCCTTCGTGCCTGTTTAGTCAAGTGGGTGTCAAATGGGGGCTGCCGCTCGGTTGCAATTTCTGGACTGTTCTCAGACTGTTTTTTCCCTTCCTGAGCCAAAGAGTGCAACATTGGGGTCTTCTGAGGAGAAATTTTGCTACTCTCATCTTTTGCCCACCTGAATTCTTTTTGAGCAGCTCTGTTCTCAGTGCCAAGGACACAGCTTTTTACATAGTCCTGTGGGCTGTACCTGGGTTCACTTTCCTCAAAGCTGTTCTCAAAGTTCTTCTTTTGTCCAGCCCTTTCAGCATGATTACTTTTTTTAGCCTCTTCTACCACGGTAGACCTAACACCCGCCTCTATGTCCACCATGTGATGACTACTGTTCTCATACCCTTCCAGAGAAGGTTCAACAGCTTGGTGAGGTAGATAGTATTTTGGTTTTTGGACCATCGTGACAACTGCAGGATTTTCATGAGGTCCAAGCGATGCATCAGCCCCCACGAGGGGTTTCCAGCTGTCATCCTTGAGGTGAAGGGGCTTCGAACTTCCCTGAGGAGGCTGTTTGGCCGTCACGCAGTAATAGCGACTCTGTCCCGTGTTGTCCACCTTCTGTTCGGCAGCAGCGTGCCAAGAGGAGAGAGCGTTGAGCGGCCTCCCTTGGTTTGCACTGTAGCAATGGAAGGCATCGGCGGGCAGCTCCTGAATGCCACCATAGCAGAGGGAATGCTGCTGATCTTTAGGCGAAGCCGACGTTCTGGCGCTGTGGAGCAGAGCGCTCTCGTCGCTGTACTGGTGCTGGTGACTGTACGCGGGCTGCGCAAACCGCACGTCGGTGCTCGACAAGGACGACTGCAGTTTGTTCAGGGCTCCTGTGCTACTGTTGTACCTTTCACCAGCAGAAAAACCATACTCCATGCTAAGACCGGGTTTATAGTTTGAGTTACTGACCCTCCTGTCGCACGCTCTGGACGGCCACCTTTGCTGCTCCACAGCTTCCGAGTTCCAGTCACTCCTGGGCTGCGATCGGCTCGGGGCAGTAAAGTGCTGCGTGCTGGCACCCTCTGGGTGCACGGGAGCGTGGGCCTTCTCGTGGCCCTTGGTAGCAGCAAAGCTGTCACTACGAAGAGGCGGAGCTGGGGGAGGAGGAGATGAAGACTTCTTCTTATCAGGAACATACCAGACAGGTCCAAAATTAGATCTTCCAGAGCTGGGGAGCTTCATATCAGGGTGTTCCTCTATTCTAGGGCTTTTGCTGTTCTCGTACTGGGTGGGAGCTGGCAAATATCCTGGTTTGTCTTCTATTCCACTGTTATCATTCCCAAACTGGCCGGACTTGTTTCCATGCTTTGTAGTCTCCCAGTGGCCTACTTTGTATAACACGTTCTCTGTTGAAGAGGTGTCTGCACTGCATAGAGTGTGGTCAGGGGTGCTTGAGCTTGTGGAGAAAGACCCATAGGCTGAATCACGCTTGCTTTGGCTGCCTAGGTGATCAATGCTGCTGTTAGACTTTGCGGAAGAAAGTCTTCCATACTGGCCTCCTTGGGGAGTGTGGTCCCAGCTGTCCATACTTCCCAAAGAGCTGAACTGGTCAGAATTGCGATGCAGACTTGACTGATCCCATGAGTTCGACAGGTCATGAGAAGAAGAGCTATGGTAGCAAAAATAAAACAAACCAAAAAAAAACATAAGTAAAAAATTCGACATAGTTTAACAATATACATGACTACCAACTTTACTAATACTGGTAAAAGCCATCTACATAGCAGAAATGTCTCTTATTGAAGACAGACAATCTAATAAAATTGAAAATTTGGAGAGGCTGGGCTTTATATTTTTAATTCTGGCACTTGTTCAACTTGTTCAAAGCTTTAAACTTCAGTAACTTTAACACAGTTTTGCTCTCCCTTATTCCTGATAAGCAACACATATTTATCTCTCCTGAAGGCTCCACTCTCCGTGTGCAAATTGTTGATTCTATTTTTTTTTTAAATACATATTCAGTTTAAGTTCCACTAGCTCCCAGCTTTCCAGGATGAAAACTAACTTATTTTCCACTTGCTCATCTTTCTCTAGTTCACTTCTTTTCTGGTCCATAAAGTTACTTTCTCACCACTTACTTGCTTATCCAAATCCATCCATTAATATAATATCTTCATTTCTAAATGAAAGACTACTAGAAACATTTGCCTCATACATCTCCATTTCAGGTCGTAGCCTCTAAAATAAATCTTTCCAATGTGGCTTCAAACAACTGTCAGTCTGATGACCTTATAAAAGTGTCATTCATCTCCACCCAATTCTGCAGCACTGACAACAAAATTCCAAGAGAGCAGGTTAAGTGCAATTATAGTTCCAAATTGCCAAAACTGAACTTCTGATCCTTCTTCAGAAATCACCACCACCGCCTCCCAGCTGGTCTTTCCTGTACAGGGATGTCATCTTTGACGCTGTTACCCTTCTCTGGCTCATTTGTCAGTATTTCAAAATTTTGCTACTTATGCTGTTTTCCTTCTCAACACCAATTTTGTTCTGTTTTGCTTTTTATTACTGAAGTTTTTGTCTTTTATGTCTTTCCCGGGACCTACCTCTTGTCAACTTAACCATGATAGTCCTTGCAACTCCTCCCACCACACCTCCCTGCCAGAACTTCACTACCAGCCCCTCCAGCTTTTATGTGCCAAATTGAGCTTCTTGTCCTTGCATGCAAAGCCCCTTGGTAGAAATCCCAGCACTGTTCTACTTCCCTGTAGCTATAATTATACAAAACATCTATCAACTCCTGTGCAGTAAAGAAACTTGTGAAAGCTAGTAACTAAATTAGGTCACTCCATATCAAAAACACAAAGAGTACAGTCGTTCTTTCTTTCAAAAATACTGCAAAAGAAAACTAAGCACTTCTTTGGAATTTACACTTAGTATGAAAATTGTACATTTTCTCATATTTCTGTTGTCTTTGGGGTTTTTTAATAAAGCACAATTTATGTGAAGAGAAAGTATAATTCGTGTTTACCTTCTAAAAGAAATTTTTAATACGGTGCATTGGCATTATATTCATCTTTTGGGGCGTTTTATCATTTTTGTATCCTTAGCATTCCAAAGCATCTCACTGAATAATTAAGGAGGTCTTAATTATCCTATGGCTCACGTCGTTATACTATGGTTCATGTAAAAAGTGCCTTGATCATTACTAGGATCAATGTCAATGAAGACTGTAAGCCAGGCTTTAGTATGGCAGGCTGATGCCTTTATCCTTTCTCTTTGGCCTAAGATATGTGTTGTGGGTCAAAATAAAGATGGAACTTGTGCAAGAAAGCCTTCATTTACAAGTCTAAAAATTCCAGAAATATCTCCTCCTTGGGCTATTTCTATTATGTTCTTACACACTGCCCCTTTCAGCCCCGGACCATCGTTAATCCCGCTCGGCTCGGTGACTGACTTGGAGCATGTGGTGTATCTTGTCTGTGTGAACTGTACCTTGAACCAGGGCATCTCTGAAGCAGCTCGTGCTCCTTTGTGCAGACTGGAAATGCCAAGTAACTCTGCTCTGCAACCACAATTCTGAAAATATTGGCACCCAAGGAGCGCTGGGCTCCCAGGAACCGCGCGCCGAAGTCAGCTCTGCTCCAGAAACAGCCCTGCGCCACAGCCACCAGGACTGGCAGATCTCCCGGGCAAATCACCTCTCCGCAGTGACGCTGATCAGCACAGGTGACCAATGGTTCAGGAACAACAAAACCCTGGGAACCCTGATCTTTGACTCTACTGAAGCCACTACATCTATTAACAGCTTCTAAGAAAGAGCAATCTTTTTTTGGCCCTTTCATTATTACCACTCTGTTAGCGGTTGTAGAGGGAGGAAGGAGGCAGGAGGATTGCTTTATTTTTAATTTCTATTTCTTCCCCCCTCCTCTCCCCAAATTTCATTCCGGAAGTTCATTAGAAGTTGGTTTTTAACCAAATTTCGGGGGAAAAAAACCTCTCTCATGATTGGCCCAGTTCATGTCAACATCTCTTCCCACTCCCAGAGAATCTGCCTTGCAGACCTAACTGTTACAACAAGGTATAAGGACAATCATCAGAGAATAGAGAAAACTGTATCAATTTATAGCTCAGTCAAAAGGCTCAGTAGACTGAAACTAGAGGTACTCTTTATGTCACCATTGCAACCAAGAACTCTTTAAATTTTTAGGAATTTCTGAATTTGGTTTCATTTTATGAGGTTACTTACTGTCTTTATATATATGACTCTAATTTAATCCATCTATATGAAATTTAAGACATAATCTATCCGCACAAATCTATCTGAAATGGGAGTAATTACAATTGAGGACTTTGAAAATATAATGTGCTAAGATCTCTGACAATGAATTAAGTGTTACAACATAATTTTCATTTAAAAAAGGCACTTCCATCTATAAGTGAACACTCATATGTTACTCGGGACAAATTGAAAGTTATTTTTTAAAAAATCGTAAGATATTTTAAAAAATGGTAGGGAACTTGCACAGAAAAAAAAATCTTAAGAGCAAGTGCATTTTGCTGTTTTATTTTAAAAGCCATAATAAGTTAACATCAGGAAGTGATGACTGAGAATGTGCAGCAGTAAGTACAGAAAGCACAAGACTACCTTGCAAATTGGGAATGTTTTCCAGACTGATTTTTTTTCCTTAATGCCCAGCAAAACTATGTCCCAAAGGGAACTGAGAGGAATAAAAGCAATAAAAAATGAACTCCCTCTGCTCTCCCCATGAAAATGCTACAGAATATAATCTACAAGCAGGAAAAAAAAACCCCATGAGCTTGTAATCAAGCAAAATGGTATGGGCATTACCTTAAAAGCTCAAAACTTTCACAACTAAAAATGCATGGGTGACAGCCTTTCTTCCATATGCTGATCGAGACATAACAAATACTGAAGGGTTTTAAGGAAACAATAAAAATCATTGGTCTTGTTACCTCTCTACACAAGCAAAAACACCACTGTAGTGAAGATCAGATTACAGAAAGGTTCTTTAGCTAACAAAACCAGCAGTACTACAAAGTCCATCAGGAAAATACTCTGAATGCTGCTTTTGGCTTTCTAATGAAGTCTGAAATGATTCTTTCTGATTTTTTTCTCCCTTAGCTATTTTCCTTTAAACATGCTAACCTTTATGGCTTCTTTTCGCTTGCACACACAAAGGTTTAGGATTTTACCTGTGAACACTGATAAGAGAGCGCAGAGCAAGAAAAAATAAACTTCTGGCAGCCTTCAAAAACATTTCCTTACCTTTCAGTCACACGCATGTATCACACTGTGTCCCTGAGATACATTCATCCATACGTCCCGCTTGCAGGATTCCTCTTTTAAGCATTGAAAGGACAGGGAGCAAGAAGGAAGCGCTGCAGAATGTTTTTGCCTTTGTGCTTCAAAAGTCGACCCTGACCACCCCGACCTACATTATCAGTGCCTTGCTGCTGGAGCTGCATGCAGGTAACTCGAGCAGGGACTCACCTGGCATGATACCGTGAGTGCCAGGAGGTGCAGGCATTGGTTGAAGCAAGGTGTGACGTGGCTGCTTCGGGTTGACTTTCTGTAAATTTGGTTGCATGCCAGGAGTGAGGCCTGCAGGCCAGGTCACTTCTTCTGGAAGGAGAGACAGAGAAAGTGTATTGCTTTAATGCCATTAAGGTGACATGCAAGTAAGGTGACGTGCAGCAGAAAAGCTACTGGCACTTGTCAAATTCAACTTTGCACTGACAGAATAGAGGCATAACTAACAACAAGTTAACAAGTTAAGTTTGCTGCAAATTGCTGTAACTTACAGTAAACTGGTCCAATCTTCTACATGCATGACAGTTTTGAAAAGATACTATTATTCCTCTAAAATGCTTGGGATACAGTGAAACAGCAATTCTACCCAAGGTTTGTGGTAGGTTGGGTTTTGTCTCTCTCTTTTTTCTTTTCTTTCTTTTTAAAGCAAGCAAACACGTTTTTTTAAGTACCTTAAATGTATACAGAGCTTTAGCAGTTCAAAGTACTAATGAGCTTTATGACTCTTTTATAACATAGCAACAGTAAATAAGGCCTTGGTAAGGCTTTATACAGATATGTACACATATGTGTCCAGGGAGGATGTGGGAAGAAAAGGAACAAGTAACTGGAGAAGGAACAAAGTCATATGCATTTTTTCCTACAAGTCAGGAAGACTGATACAACTACAAATTCTAACACCAAGCAGGTTCTGCTTCAGCTCTTGAAATGCTTGGGACTTCAGGAGAGCAGGTTATCATTTTTAGAAGGACACACTACACCCCAAGAGCAGCTCAGTGAACTATCGAAGCCCCCCAGCACCGCGGGCTTCAGCTCGGATGCTGGCCCCAGGCACACTTGCCCACAGAGCTGCAGAGACCCTTCCTAACGAATACGAGAGCAAGTTACTCGTATCTTACAATCCCTGCTGCAAAACCATTTTCAACCTGTCTGCCCCTTCCACCCGTTTGGGAAAAACAGAGCTTGCATTTCTTTTGAAGGACTTACTGGTTGTAATACCTTTTTTAATACTTACCTGTCTTACCTGTAATACAACAATCTCATGAAAAATGTATATCTTTTTCTCAAAGGTCAACGTTCATGCATTCTGGAATGAATCTATTTCTATTTCAGCTAACATATCTAGCACAGGCCCCTTTTGTCTAGGCTCTCTCAAAAGCCGTGGGAATAAAGCAGGGACTTCTTGAAGATAACTCGTCCAATTCTCCTCTTTGCTTTCTCCTAAGAGGAGCGTAACTTAAAAATTACATTAGATATGAAGGGAGACAAATCCAAGCCTTCCAAGTCACAATCTAAACTGAAAGCTTGGTCCTTGGCTCTTAAATTATTCATGAACTTCTGTATTTATCAAGCTTTTCACAACAAGGTTAAATAACCTAAATTACCAAGTCATTCACAAAGCCAAGACAGTATTAGTGCCTACTTTCAACTCAAAATCTAATGTCAGCTCTGATTTTTTTTTACTCATCCATCCTTTCAAAAATGTCGGCCATCTAACAGATACTGGTTAAAATAAATATGAAAAAGAAAGAAAACTAAAGCTCATTATAAACCAGTATAAAGTTCATTATAAACCAACTGGTCATTTTTGACTAAGTAGTCCTCCTTTTTTTCCACAATATTTTTAGGAAGATCTGACGAATTCTTTCAAATTTCTTTTCCAAACTCTGCATGCAGGATTATAAAAAGACAATAACAATTCTACAGGGAAGATGTAATTTCACGAGAAGCATAGCATCATTGCTGTCTCTAAATAAAGAACCGATTGTTTTCCTCAACAAAAGCCTTCTCTTCTTAGCATGAGAAGAGAGAAAACAGCTAAGCAGAGCAACACTACTTGCTTTCTTGATAAGATATGAAAGCAAAAAAGTGGGTGGAGGAGGCAAAATACTCTCCCTGCAAAGAGGTACAAAAGACTCTGCTGGGCCATGTGATACTCACCTCCAGACAGCCCATGCCTGCTTCACAGAATCACTGAATGGCTGGGGTTGGAAGAGACCTCTAGAGATCATCTACTTTTATATCCAAGTATTGAAAGAAAAGCAAGCCACTGATGGCTCCGTTGCTCTTTTTCCACTGCTCATTCTCATACTACTGCTATGAGCCAGGCCAACCATAAATAGCTCTTTAGGCTATTTATCCAGCATACCTTCTAGGCATGGCTTCAACAAAGGCGTTTCTATACTACGGGACAACTACTGCACTATCATGCACCACAAAGGAAACACAAGACTAGAAAACTAGCACAGTGCAAGTGATGTCTGGAGTGAGAGGAAATGAAGGTTGGGGAACAAGGACTCCTGTGAGGGTTTGCTATGGGGCTGGCAAATGGCAGGAGAAATTCAATCAGTGGGAAGGGATGCACTTGTAAAGCCAGTACTGTACCTCATGGAACTTCTCAAGATCTTCATAAGATAGTTTCTGGCCCCACGAACATCATTTTCAGATGGCATTTTCTGTGCTACGATATCCACCACCACTTTCATCTTCCTGAGCGGCCAAGCAGGGGGAGGAACAGACTGGACTGAGTTGTGACAAGAGGTAAGGCAAGTGGACGAGAACTTACTGGTTCCGTTGTGCTTTCTGTTTATGCAGATACGCATTTTTTAGAAGAAATTACAGACATACTAAAATACTCTCAACAGTCTAAAAATGCTGGTGGGTCTCCTGGAAGGTGGAATCAAGCAGATATGTGTTTTCACAGAAGCCCAGAGCATGACTAAGAACTAAGTCACTACGCATTGTCAACACTTTCTTCCCATTAGATTATCAGTTTCTCACCAATTAATAACATGTGCTATTTCTTGAACTTCAAGAAATAAAGTTTCTATCAGTAAACAGCAGAGAGTGTGAAGTAAGTTTCAAAACTCAATTACAAAAGATCTAGAAAGAAAAAAAAAATCAGAGACAGAAAATGTTGCAGGCAACTAAAGCTGCTGGAAGCAGAGCATTTATATTCTAATGTAATACCTCTGCATTAATTCTGAGTGACAGAATGAGATCGTCTGAACCTACAATCCAGGAAACCTCTTGCGTTAATGGAAGCATTATTAAAAGCATTTCACCGACTGTCTTTCTACCAGTGCTTTTAGAAAAGCTGCTAGAAGGAAAAAGCTGATAAGCTTTGAAGGTAGGATACAAAGGGGAAAGCCATTTCTATCGACTAGAAGCCAGCCACACACCAGAATGGTCTCAACGACATATGTGTGCAAATAGTGTAGCAATAAAACAACCTCTCCAGCTCTGATTTTCAGAACAAAAACCATCCTTTTATAGTCGCTGTTCGGAAGGCATTAAGAAAGACACCCTATATTTCAGAGACAGTGTGAGTTTAGAAATACAGGAACAAAGGCTCAGACTGCTGCAAAGCTTTCGCTTGTGAGGTTCACTGGACTGAAAAGGGCAAACACACACCTCCTTGACTGAAAAATAAAAATAACTAAATTGTATGGGTAGATTCATCTGCAAATAATAACACAAGATAGAAAAATATTTTGATTGTCAGAATGAAAATTCCAGGCAACTGTTTTTTTTAAGTTTATTTTGAGAATGAACATGAATGGCTTCATTTTATTTCCTGTCAGAGTTAGTAGGACTCCTTAAATTTCAGATGTCTGCATTAAAACTAAATTGAAGCTTGCAAATGAAAAGTAGGTAGGAAATCAAATACATTGTTTTACCTCAGCATAAAACAATAGTATAAATTAATGAGAGCTTTTCCCTCAGCATTCAGATACATTCTAAATTAATGTAGCTAACAAGAACACAAAATCAACAACGGCTACCACGTGTAGGTAGGTTAAGACCAAAATGCCAACAGACATAACGATGGATTTGTAGTAGGAATACACAATGTGTATTCCCCTTACCCGCAAAGGGATCTATTCTCACCTACCAAACAGCTCTAGAACGAAGATTTTTGCATTTAGGGTCCAAAAGCAAAACAGAGTCCCGAGAACCGTGTCCAAGAGAAAAGGAGGTAGAAGGATTTATTGCTCCGCTAAGGTTTCAGTCTGTGTCTCTGCTGCGCCAGCACGGCCGGCTCAGCCTGGCAGCTGGCTCGCACGCAAAGCCAGGGCGGCGAATCCCGCACGCCAGCAGCGGCCGTTACCCAGGAAGAGGGCTGTGCCGCGCTAGTGCGGTCGGAAGCCGGGCTCGGTCCCGCCGGCTCCCGTGAGGTGGTGCCCGGCCTGCTCGCTGGCTCAGCAGAGCGCTGGGAAGGGCCCGCGCGCCACCCGGCCCCAGGAGCAGGCCCTGGATGCTGCCTGCCTGCGGAGACTGCCCGACTAGGCCTCTGGAAAGGGCCTCCGCATAAACCCAACGTCAGAATCAACGGGCTGATGCGCTTAGCCAAGGTGGGCAGCGATCTTCCTTTTTACAGGGTAATTTTGACTAAAAATCACCAATTTGTGCAAGTGATCTGCAAAATGGATGCGAAGAACTCCTGAAAGCCGCCGAGCTCATCTCAGGGAAAAAGCAAAACTTACCCCTACCCACACAGCCACAGACCAGTTTGTGTGTCAGCTAGTTATCTACAAGTGCATACGGGGAAATGAGACACTGAAGAAACCAGCAACTGGAGTCCGTTTCCCGTTTTATTCCACATCGCTCCGCCTTGCCGGGGCAGGGAGTCTCCCGAGTGGAATTCCTCCCTCTGCCGGCCCTGGGGCCTCACTAGCAGCCCGGGTCACTCGCTGGAGCAGTGTCCTGGTATGTCCTGGCATCCTTGGCAGCGGGGCGCCAAGCTGCACCGCCCGGCGCCACGGGAACAGGAGCGGAGCCCGCGGGACGCAGCGCGAGCCAGGAGCGTCTGCAAAACGGAGGAACCGGGCGGCTCTGCCGCTGAATCCCAACGCAGCTCATCTGCGGCCTTCCCCTTCCCTAATCCTTCCTTCCTTGGAACGCTAAAATGACAGTCCGTTCTGCTGTGATGCTAAACCAAACTGCAGTTATATACTGCTCTGGCTTTGGCAGCTCTCAAGCAGCAGACTTCACTGTTCTACTTCAAATTAGCAGTAATGACATATAATTAGTGTTTAGTACGTCTCATCTAACCAAAAGTGGGTATTTGAAGCCAGTACTTATGAATACAA